AGCTAAGGAGGAGGAGCTAAGGAGGAGGCGCTGCTGAGGAGGAGGCACTGCTGAGGAGGAGGAGCTAAGGAGGAGGAGCTAAGGAGGAGGCGCTGCTGAGGAGGAGGAGCTAAGGAGGAGGCACTGCTGAGGAGGAGGAGCTAAGGAGGAGGAACTAAGGAGGAGGAGGAGGCGCTGCTGAGGAGGAGGAGGCGCTGCTGAGGAGGAGGAGGCGCTGCTCAGGAGGAGCTAAGGAGGAGGAGCTAAGGAGGAGGAGGAGGCGCTGCTGAGGAGGAGGAGGCGCTGCTCAGGAGGAGCTAAGGAGGAGGAGCTAAGGAGGAGGAGGAGGCGCTGCTCAGGAGGAGCTAAGGAGGAGGAGCTAAGGAGGAGGAGGAGGCGCTGCTCAGGAGGAGGAGGCGCTACTCAGGAGGAGCTAAGGAGGAGGCGCTGCTGAGGAGGAGGAGCCCACCTGGAGCCTCCCCAGCAGCTGCGATGTTTGATCTGTGAAACCATCGATCAGTCGAAATAATCGACTGATCGATGGTTAACTGGAGGATAGAGACGGTTAACCTGCCGTTAACTAAGAGCAGCAACTAAACCCAGACTGTAAAAATAAACATTTCACACTTTAGATAAAAAAAAAAATCTTCTTGAAGGCAATCAGATTATTAATGGATGAGAAAATAATCAGCAGATTATTTATTGACTAATTAATGGTTTACTAACGTTCCTCCCAGTAAACAGCAGTGGAAGCTTTTAGCTTCTTTCAGTGGAGAAATAATAAATAATAAAGCCAATAAAATAATAAATGAATCAGACGGGGGGGGGGATCTGAGAAGGTTTAATGTAGTTTTTCCAGGAGGGGCTACTTGGCCATGCCCGCCAGCCAGCTGAGCTTAAACAGAGACGGCGCCGCGGCGTCCTCATCCTGATCCGCCATCTGCCTGAAGACGCTGCCGGGCCGGAAGCTGTCATCACTTCCTGCCGCCGAGGACGGAGGCGCCTGAGGAGGAGGAGGAGGAGGAGGAGTCAGCATCTCTGAGGTAGAAGGTTCCAGAAGCCCTGAACCAGGCGTAACATTACGACCGCCTCTCAGGTCCTGCTGCTCTGAAACCCAGCTCATTTCATGGCCGAACCAGCAGGTCCAGTTCGATCATTCCAGACCTCACTGGGATCCGCTGGTCCGTTTCTAAGGCTGGAACCAAATCTGTTAGTTTATTCTGCAGCTTCCAGCTAACGCCAGGATGCAGAGAAGAAGAGAAGCAGTTCCTGCTCTGAAAGCACAGCAAACCGACCAGCAGAACTTCTCCCATCAACCTGCCTGCAGGCGTCAATCTCAGAACCACTGGGAGGAGAAACGGCGCCACAGGCGAGGTCCAAAAGGCCCAAAGGTCCCAGCAGAACTTACCAGCTTCTGGGACGCCTCAGACGCCCTGGAGGACGACTTGGACTTTCGAGCATTTGACATGCTGAGAGGCAGCAACCCGAACCTGCAAGACAAGACGGAGGACTAAGGATCAGAACCGCTTTATTAGCCACAGGGACTACAGGAACCACAGAAAAAACAGGAACCACGGGAACCACAGTAAACACGGGAACTACAGGAACCACAGAAAAAACAGGAACCAC